AACCCCAAACAGAGACAGTTGTAAAATGCAGAAACTAAAGTGCCACAGTGTTTGGGGCCTAATCTCTAAGTTAATTTTTGGGTAATTTTCTAAAGCGTTATTTAGAGAAAAAAAAATGCTGCTTTCTACATTTGCGCCTCAAGTTTACTTTATCAATTCTGTGTCTGTCAGGACTAGAAAGCTCACCTGTGGGTCGTGAGTCCTTTGGCAAACCTCTGTATCCAAGCATACTTACATTATGATTCATAACAGTAGCAAAATTACAGTTATGAAGTAGCAGCAAAAATAATTTTATGGTTGGGGGTCACCACAGCATGAGGAACTATATTAAAGGTTTGTAGCATTAAGAAGGTTGAGAACCACTGTTTTAAATGCTTTAAGAACGTCTGGTACCCAGTAGAGCATTGTACTGCTATCTCGGACAGTACCAGGCAGGGCTGTCCTGTGACCCTCAGTACCTAGCCTCTTCCAAGGACAGCTGTTGATAGCTTCAGAGTCCTTCAGTTATCACACACAGGCAGGGCAGTGGTTGTAGAATGTGTCACTAAAAGACCTTCCTCCTGTGTTTTCTGAGGAGAGCCTGTGGCTTAAGCTTTTCTCAGAAATTGCCAATATCTCCCTGTTTGGGGCAGACTTAATTAATATAGTTCAAGAATTCACTGTGCTAAGTGCCTGTGATCATCTTGACAGATGGAAAACACCAGTGGGAGCCTGCAAAGCATCATGGTGGTCTATCTCTGTGTTGTCACAGCCAATGGAGTCTCACCTTTCCCACTAAGAAGGATTCGGAGATTTTCTGATTCATCAGCTCCCTAGACTGTATTGCTCCATGGAGGATTTTAGCATCCTTCTGGCTGCCATAGGTCTCTGCTAGGAAACTCATTCCAAAGCAAAGTTGTCGCTCTAACTCTGCTTATTCCAGACACTGTTGAAGGGGAGGCCAGGGTCTGTGGAGCCTATCCCTGTTCCACAGGGCTCATGAAGAGCAGTATCTAGTTTTATATACACAAAAGCAAAGCCAAGCAAAGGGTCTTGGGATTGGAGCAGCTATGTTAAAGGGGTGGCTTTATAGTTCAGGTTTACGTTCCCTACAGCATGGGCCAGTTCTTAAGTGATGGCCTTTTTTGTTGTTAGGCTCTGTAACTGCTCATGGTGCTGAGACTTTGATTTCGTCCACAGGCAGGAGACACCTG